TATATATGCTAAGTCAGCTTTAGAATGAAGTGACAACTTCCCGATTCAATCACAGCTGCGCAGGAAGAAGAGCAGAGATATAAGAGATATGTACCGAAGGAGTGCTTGACTTCCTGGGCTCGAATTCTCTGTTAAGGTGTGGTAAGGTCGAATCAAGCCGACATCTGAGCTGTTGGAGTCTGTACTGATGATGCGGCATCGTATCTATGGGGATGATTGGCATATATGGATTGAATTAATAACTGTGCTAGCCCATGGTAGAATCAGGTGTGATATCGAATGTATTAGATTTATTCACATATCCCGGGCAATAAGGAGGAATTATCATTGAAGGTGCTCGATTTCTATATAGTGCTAAGAATGTAACGAACTATGGGATGGAGGGCTACAGTTACATCTGAGAGCATACTGAAGTACTAACCTGCGATTCATCAGTGGTTCAGGTACAAACATGAGTATATCTAATCCGTGGTGGAAAATATACATAATAATCCCAACAGCCTTTGAAATGAGACGAGCACGTCGAGAAATTGACAGGTAGTCAGTATGTGTATTTCACATAGGACATACCAAATCTTGAAGTGACCTGCGCAGAATCTCATAGCGGATGGATGTATTGGGCAATGCAATCTGCACGCACAAATCGGCGCGGTCAACGAACGCAGCGTCTGTTTTGATGAACATCGGGTGAGATACGAGAAATCTCAGGTTGACTCGCGAGAGAAGGAAATATTTTAACTGAAACCTGAGCGGACTTTAGTTACACAAAAGGACAGATAGTGCTTGCCCCACTTGACAAAATTTATAGACAGCGTGAAAACTGTATAAACCGACATTGCCTGTGTATACTGAGTAGTCTTACCTAGAGCGCCAGTGAGATTGGTTGTGGCGATTATTAGGATGTTCGCATACATCGCAAGCTTGTCCTGTCGATATATTTAGGTTTATTTGTTAAGATGTCATAACATAACAACTCGACAGAAGCAGTATGTCGCAAGTGTATTCTGATATCAATATAAACCAGATCAAAATGCAGCGGTTCTACGAAAATCGTCGCAAAGGACATCAAGAGAAACACACACCAACTGGGTCAGCATCGCATTGACAGCTCTCACAGAATCACTTGGATCTGATGACGATGTTGCCCTCGAGGTAGCCAACGACTCTATTTCATCTACCAGCACACACACAAAGGTATCTGGGTGTAGCACTTCGTGGATCTGTCAATAAATACCCAGAGCGTATATGTGAAAGGTTAAACTTTGAACTGAAATGCGCCTGGTACGAAGATCTCGAAATCTGTACATTCAAATAGTTTTCTCGGCAATAAACACAACAACATAGATGCATTCAATCGTGATGAGGGTGAGCGCAAACGAGTACTGTAACCCATATAGGCACGTCTGTGTTCTGCTTGCTTTCATCGCCAGGCTGACAAAACAAAATGGTACAATAATGTAGGCTCTTTACATGATGCCACTTATTCACGCGGAGCAATCTTTTGCCATAACATACTTGTTGAAATAATTTCTGCACCAGTTTTCCACTCTCGGAGAAGAACTTGGAAAGCACGCTGTGGCTATTGACTGTTATGAGCTGCCCATAACTAAAGCGGTCATTCATACGAATGCTTATTTTTTGGGCTAAGCTTTTGGCCAAGGATGTCTTTCCTGTCTACTAATGAACAATATCATAATTATAATAAAGCAAGGACTGGAAGTATATGCGGCTCTCATACAGATCCAAGGTATGCTACCAAGGTGCATACCACAGACTCCGCAATAGTGGATAGCTAAGATCGAAGCACGCCACGCTTACCCCTGGTGGTCCCTAGTCGACGCAGTTCAAGAGTGTATTCAAGGAATAGAGAAAAAATAAGTAAACGAAGCAGAAGAAGCAGTGAATGTATTTAATAGTGTACGATAGTTCGACCTGACGAGCAACAGAGCGATATCACTCATTATTGCATTCATGTTTAGTTGTAGAATGACACACTTACTAGTTAAGAATAGACATCACCCACGACAGACATAAATCTGTGATAGATCTGGATGCTATTCCAGCGTAAAATACACGTAACCTTGTACAGAACATGTTATGAGCAAAAGTTTTGAATAAAGACTCGCACCACTTCTCTGTGTCATGCTGAACTCGCATACACATGGACACACCCTCATACTGGCCCTTGTATTGCCATGTGTACACTGACTTATACATGCACCTATGTACACCCCCCTACTAACCTTTGTATTGCCATGTGTACACCGACTTGTACATGCACCTATGTACACTCTCATACTAACCCTTATATTGTCATATGTACACTTACCTGTAGATGCACCTGTACACACTCCCATACTAACCCTTGTATTGTCATCTGTACACTTACTTGTAGATGCATCTGTTCACACTCCCATACTAACCCTTGAATTGTTATGTATGTACATACATGTAGGAGCACGATCCGATTGCAGGTAACGAGATGACGATTCACTCGTCTATCTGCGGTGGTCCGGATGGGAATTTCGCTTAACGAATCGTTTATGGTTTGTGAAGGCGCTGAGAAAGTGAACTCGGAAGCAGTCGTGACATGTGGAATAGTATGCCGAATGAATTCAACGACAGGTAAGCGCCATACCAGAGAAAAGCATGGCTGTCCGAGCATATTGTAGCAGCTGTTCCTTGACGTCTAGATCATACTCTAGGCTCTCCCATCTTTATTGATTCAACGTTAAAGTTGTGTACAACTGGCATATTTTAGACTCCAGTATATCATTGATGCGATAGAGCAGATACACAGTCGCCCTCGCAATACCCTCGTGAGGTACACCCAACCTGAAGCCAAGCATAATCACAACGTAACCACATAAAAATGAACTGTATCTTGGTATTCTCTCTCGATTGCTATGTTCGTAGTATAAAGCTTTGCAAGATCGGTACACCAAAGTGCTTCGCGTCACCACATCTCCTCAATTCAAATACTCCCGAACAAATTTTCAATACGCTAAAGCGCCATAAAAAAAGTACTGCGGCGATGTATGACACCTGTGGATAAGTATGCCAACCAATTGACTGTATCCCATGCTAGTGCTATCAACGACATACAGTCCGTACAGCTCAGAGCAGGGAAGATATGTCTGCGTGGCAGTCGTAGAGCCATCCTCACCCACCTCTTCCGCAGGGGGGTCGGTGCTGAGCTGATTGTGCAATACACCAATTCCATCACGCAATGTTTGCAACAGAATAACGATGTCCCAAGGTGCCAAAACGGATTGTTGCACTAGTATATTACGCATCCGTAGATATGCAGCTATACGGCTGCATAGGTGTTCGCATGAGTGTCCGTTGGTCGTAAATTGATTGGTGTGCTGCTGCTCTGGGCTACCCTGACAAAGTGACTCTCTGAGAGGTATGTTCATACACGTCACGCGTGAGCTGAATTGTACATGGGATTAAGAGAGAAACGTGTGCTTGCGTGCCACTTGGTTGAGCTCAATATGTCGCTGTGTACAGTTGAATATCTGGTACAGATAGGCAAATAAACGCTTTAAACCCGGTCATAGAGTGATGCAACATTCAGGGTGATGGAGATTGAGCACCGCTCTACGGATGATACACCTCAGACGGTCGTCGCCCTCAACTACTTGGAAACGGCAGAAGGTCTTAATACGAATCAAACATACCGAATATACTATCAGATGTATTCGTATATCATTCTGAGAGAAGCAGAAGCCGTCTGAAAGATTGGGCAACCGCGCTCCAGAGACCATCTCGAAGGACATACGCTTGACGTTGTCCTTAATGCGCGTCGCGATTAATGAGAGACTATTATTGGATTGATTTGACACATATTGCAATGAAGGAAAGTTGCATCGCAGCATACAAATATCTACGCCCACAAGGTATTGATTCTTCAATGCTAGTCTGCCAGTCGTGATTTGGATATACTACATGAAGGTGAACAGATATCATGTGATATGGCTCATCCAAAGCGTGCGAGACAGCTGCCAGAGCAATCTGAGACGCGCGTAGGTTCGCACCAAGGAGCGATGACTAATTGACAATGCCGCTGACAATTGGTGCGCAATCGCACGCGTAGCAGTAAAAGAGGCGTAACTAGCAGTGTGCAGGTATTTAACTGCGGGCATCTATCTCAACAAGTCACTCAATTAGTAACCTATATGTGACTCAGTCTTGGAATGCTTGATTGAAAGCCAATAGTCGTTCGTGCGTTTCCCACAGCCCTCCCAAAGAGACAAATAGAGAACGTGAAAGGTTACATCTGTCATGTTTCAGTGCACCAATTTTCTTTTGGGCCTGACCCTTCAACAATAATTTGAACATCTCACATGTGTAGCCTAGAAATGCCTATGTCGCATTCAAATGAGACATGTATGTGCTATGTGGCTGTGACCTCTTTTTATTTGGACCCGCATACTATGCAGTTCGATTACTAGTCGATATACATACCTTGAGGTAAGGGTCGCAGAATGTGGCGAGACTCGATTCGTATACAACTCCCAACTCGTGGATGTACACCAATGCATGAGACTTGACCATTTCTGGGTCTGCAGCACTTTTCTTCAGCACAATCTCTACCACTACATCGTCTTTGTTCAACACACGCTTCTCCGTGAGCGCAATCATGATGTGATTGGCGTAGCAACAATCACCTTGAGAGTTCAACTTATCTACAATGTATACACATTCATATATATATATATACACGATATACAAACGAAGTATTGTGCAGGATATGATGGTATATATTATATCATTACGTGTGCATTGTTTTCAGGTCTCTTGATGCCTTGAAGGTTGAAGGGGGACTATAGCCTTTATGTTATGATCTATTTATAGATTTATTTATAGAGCTTTCTTATTTCTATTTACAGTTCGAATAACTCGAATACTCGATGACGCTGGCTTTCTTCTTGTGCTATTCAAAAGGCCCGCCAAAATGTCAATACCCGATTTAGATGATATGTTAATTATCATGCGTGATAGATTGATAGAGCTCCCTACTCTAGTAAATAGAGCCTATAGGTCTCTCAGAAGACTCAGACTCTCTTGGTTACATATTTTTTTTAAAATGAACAATAGTATGATTTTTCATAGCCTAAAATAAAACAATATTATTTGAATCACGTTTATGTTTTTAAAAAAGAAATATATATTGTATGTATGATACTTCTTGCGGGTGATGGTGATATTGTGCTGTTCATTTATTCCGAGTGTGTGCGCAGCATCAAATACTACGCATATACTTGTAATACGGCCGTATTCACATACAGCTCAGTGTCAACACATACAGCTCAGGCAGTGTCAACACATACAGCTCAGTGTCAACACATACAGCTCAGTGTCAACACATACAGCTCAGTGTCAACACATACAGCTCAGTGTCAACACATACAGCTCAGTGTCAACACATACAGCTCAGTGTCAACACATACAGCTCAGTGTCAACACATACAGCTCAGTGTCAACACATACAGCTCAGTGTCAACACATACAGCTCAAGTGTCAACACATACAGCTCAGTGTCAACACATACAGCTCAGTGTCAAACACCGCGCATAAATTCACATCCCCAAAGTATTGGAAACCCTAGTGTATCCAAAGTTGTAGTTGCATCCAGTCCTCCGCAATCCTTGGACTCTGATCGTTCACTAAGTATAGATAGTAAGTGTTTTATTAAAGTGACTATGAGGATCCTTGCACATGCTCTGACGCATTCAACGTTGGCAACTACCTCTTATAAGAAGGCATGTCGGTCTCTGCACAGTACAGCTTCAGATGCAATCCCTGTCATGGTCAATCCGGCCCTCGGAATACCGGGTGGGGTTTATAAGTAAGTACAGTCAAGGATGTGATATTCCAACTATATATATATATATATATAAATATGTATATATAATAAGTAGATGCAAATGCACGAGGCGATTGCTCACATGTATTTATTTTTGAAGCGGAACTGGGAGAACATGAAGCTTTATGCTCTGCTTGTTTCGTCATTACATCTGAGTAGGGGTTGGCAAGTTTCAATTACGCACATGAACTCGTTATCGTCAAGGTCTATGATTGTGGGCATTAAATGTATTATAACAAACATCATCGCATGTTATAATACAGGTATTTTACCGAATTGTTAGAGACAGAGAACCCACAACTGAAGTGTAAACCGACCCTAGACTACTATGGGGACAATGGGAGGTCCGAAGTTAAGGTGGAAGACTGGGGTGTCATGGCAGAGGAGGTCATAGCGCAGGTTGAGAAGGTGGTCTATGCGGACAAGGTGTGTGTAAATACTTTCCTTGTCTGGCATGCAAGCATCCGATTGACATGATTCTCTATGTATATCAGGTATACGATTAAGCGGATGTATCGCGAAGCGAGTGCATCGTTATTGAGTGTGATTTTTTGATAGTCAATTATATTCATACAAGCGAAATGCCTTCTTGCTTATGTGTATTTTATGCCTTCCCTGAAATGCGGTTCATAGTTCCGCTGTACACGTGCAACTCGAGATAATGTGATCCACGGTTAGTTTCGAATGTTTGACCTATATACTGTATAGAATAACCCGGTACTTGGGTTGTACGTATGTCCATCATACCATTGTATACGAAGGACTGCGAGGTGAGTTGTGTTGGTCGTCGCCGTGCGTACGTTTAAGATGCGGATCTACCTGAAGTGAAGAAAGTGCGATGCGATTTCGCGATATCATACATACTGCGTTTAAAAATCAAATCGATGGCAAAACCTTCGCATGAGGAAGCTAAAGAGAGACTTGTACTTGATATGAACTGTACTGTACTAAAAACTAAGAACTCTGTACACAGACCAATCCAAGGCCGGTGATAGGCCTGGGCCATTCGTTCGGTGGTTGTGCGCATAAAATCGCGGCTTTCAAGCGACCTGATCTATACCGAGGAGTGATCATGATCGATTCTCCGATGTTCAATCCGGTGTCACGGACGGTATGTTGATGATCCTTTGTTGTTGTTGATGTTATGTACTTCATTGCCACCTTCTTGTTCACAATCACCTTAGAGCATACATGAGCTTAATATTCGTGTGTATAGCTGTTCCATCTACTACGTACATGCTACATGAGATAAGCATTCGTGTGTATAGCTGATCTATCTACTACATACATGCTACATGAGATTAGGGTTCGTGTGTATAACTGATCTATCTACTACATACATGCTACATGAGATTAGCATTCGTGTGTATAGATTTATTCATCCGTACGTACATGCTACATGAGATTAACATCCGTGTATATAGCTGATCTATCTACTACTTACGTGCTACATGAGATAAACCTTCGTGTGTATAGATTTATTCATCCTTACGTACATGCTACATGAGATTAACATCCGTGTATACAGCTGATCCACCTACTACGTACATGCTACATGAGATTAACTTTCGTGTGTATGGCTGATCCATCTACTATGTACATGCTACATGAGATTAACATTCGTGTGTATAGATCATTCATCTACAACGTCCATGCTACATGAGATTAACATTCGTGTGTATAGATTATTCATCCGTACGTACATGCTACATGACTTCAACGTTGGTCAACATCAATAACTGCCCCTATAGGGCATGGTAAGTCTGAAAGCATTGGGCAAGCTCGATCAAGTGATACCTGCTAGGGCCGCAACTGTGCGTCGCAGAAGTGTATTCAGCAGTATGGAGGAAGTCAGGTAATAGCACACACGCACGACCCCAATGTACTCCAATTAATCCGCCTTAAGGTCTGCGAGGGCGAGCTTTTGGATATGGCGTCCTTGAACGCACAACGTCTACCTGGCCTGTTGTATGTTTCTTCGCAACGAAGTGTAGTAGATGTCAATCGTTCTTTTTGAAACTCGTCTCGCAAAATGCTCAACGGACCGTTGCGTACCATTACCATGCTTCGCCTGTTTAGAAGCCGACTAACGGGGAGAGGGATCTATAGAAAATGGCATCCTGAATGCTTTGAAGCCTTTCTGCGAACAGGGTTCGTGCAAAACCCGGATGGCACTGTGAGACTGCTAGGACCAGTTGCCAATGAGATCAGTATCTATGATAGTTCGCCCGCAGACATTGGGCTTACCACTACCGGACTGGTATGGTTGCCTACTTGCGGCGCTGGTTCTGTTGTCATGTACACGTATTGTGAGATACTCTGATGAAATTGATTTAGATTCTATCAACCGCCTGCACTACTTCTCGGCCATCATCGCTCGCTTACGATATATCACAACTCTTTCTCATACTTCCAGTATACGGATACTGATACGCCGATGGCTTACATCTACGCCCACAATCCTGAAGACCGACTGATATTCGGCCCCGATGTCCTGTACTTGCGAAATAAGGTACGTATACGTGTAAGCGTTAAGACCATTCACCTCCAGTGTTGTAGACGTGCCCACTCGTAGCGCTAGCATTGTCCGATTTGATCCACAAACGCGAGCGCGTACACTCATGGTCAACTACCGTCGGACTTTTCAAACACTTGCTTGAACTGCGTATCAACATCTGATCTGAATCTGCAACAACCTTCACACAGCTCCGGCACACAAGTGTTGTGCCAATGCCAGACCATGGGGGACACATGTGGCCGCTCGATCACCCAGAAGAGGCGGCGAAGTACATCAGCAGTCTCATGGTAGACATCGGCATCGTCCCGGCGCCTGTGTTAGAACGACCCGTGCCAGAACAAACAGTCGAGTGCTGTTGAGCGACCGCTCACTTAGATACTGTTTGGGTAACGGGTCAATATAGAGAGCCTGCCTAAGATATTGGTAATTGCGAATATAATCTCACGGGAGCGAAACTAAGGCTAGTCCTGCTCGTGAGAGCTCGGTGCAGCAGAATTTGCTGCGAATTCACCCAGACGAGAGTGTGAAAGGTCGTACAGGTATTGTGGTGTAGAGTAGTCTTATCCAGATGTTCAGCCTATGGGATACAGAACCTCTGTCATCTAGAACTCGAGGGATTCACGGGTTGGACAGTCATTTTCGAATGCGCACTAGTGACATTCTCTAGTGTTGTGTTTGCGATGATGGTAGAAGCTTTCGACAGCGCCGCAGCAGATCGGTTGCCTGCCCGTGCATAGGCTCAGCCTAAATGGGCAACAGACATCCGTCACAGCAGATGCGCTCACTGCATATGCGGGATAACATTCGGCGCCAATGCACTTGACCGCAATAAGACTCTGCAGCGAACTGTGCGCATTTTGTCGTCAATTGGAATTGCGGTTCTGGGCTAATAGCAGCATCGAAATCGAATGAAACACTAGAAATTCAGCCCGAAAGCTGCGACAGATCGATCTGATATTTTAGTGGCGATTGTATGAAGTAGACGAGAGTGCAATTTTGTGTCCGAATTTCCCGTACCTACCAAAAGTGCGGTTGTCAAATCCTCTGCCTTTCTGAGGGCAACTGTAGGTGCTCTCCAAGAGTTTAGTGTATCACAGTATTGTGCTAGGTAGAGTAGAGCAATAATTTAATTTCAATTTATGCCGCCGAAATCCGTATTTAAATTTAGATCAGCTTCCTAATAAATATTTTAGTCGATAAAAAAAAGTTGGTTGACATTCAAGGGAACGGTCACCTGAGTCTTGAATAATTCAGCTACACTTTATCTAAAGGAAGAGCAAGTAGAAATAGGACTGCTGCCATGATAATATACTACCACTACTAGTCAAATGCAACAAACTATCAACGAGGAAAAAGTGAGATTTCGCAAATGAGCCGGAATAGCCTAGACAATAGAAAGTTCCGGAATTCTCTGAATTGTTTGACCGCGTACGGATGCGACTTGGAAACTTAAGCCGTCGAGAGCGAGTGAGCCGTAAAATCTCTTTCAAGCTATCTACAATCCTTTTATTCTTCGTCTTTTGGATGTTCGGCTTACATAGTAGATATCGGATCAGTATTATATGTGCTATATATCGAGCACAGTGACGGCCTGCTACTAAGCAAGCTCACCTATTGCCAACTACACTCCTCGCCAGTACAGGGTGGCCTTTGAGCTGATTTTCTAACGCGTGCACATGGAGCCACCACCGCATTATCAGAGCGGCATTCTTTGCATTCGCATACAAATTTCTTTTCCAATGTGCGCGGGTATGGCAGATATAGTTGCAAATGCCATATGATAGCATTTGATGTAACCACGATCCACGGTACTTGATAACTCAGGTAGTCCCGGTGTCCAATGGTTATGCCGCATAAACAATCTAATTCCATGTGCTCAACCAACGCATCTCATCAAGCTCGTCATCAGTGTAGTGCATGGCATAGGTGAAAGCACGGAACCTCCACCATCCGTAAACACACAGCACAACCGATACGCTAATAGTCGTGAAGCGACGCACATTCCCTGTAGATGTCAGACACAGACACAGAGATAAAACACATGGGTTGTTAGTTGATAGATCGACGAGAATCTAAGTGAAGATAGTCAGGACATGGGGTGACAGACGACCAAGTATAGCATACGCATAATAATATGACGTCATGAGTTAAGGTGCTTGTGGCGAGAGTGTACAAGCTCACTTCGCTTGTTCGGCATCACTACAGAAGCGTCGAACTAAAGTGCTTTCTCGGTCAACAAATACAAAGCAAACCAGTCCAAGAGTGTAGAATCAGATGTCTTGCAGTATATAACTCGGATACAAACTACCAGCCATACCTGAGCGTCGCAGTAACTGATCCAGCCATAGGCAGCCGGCCAATTCGCCAAAGAAAAGTGCCGGTACGTAGTGATACAACCAACACGCACGAGTGACCCCAACATACGGAAGTAGGTTGCAGAAATAGCCGAACAACAACCAGGCAACCTATCGGGGTGTGGAAGATGCGGATACATGATGAACTGACTCCCCAATACGTAGAGAAATATGGATGCTTCGGGTTGACGATTTAATTGACCTTGGACATGTAATTCGCAATTACATTGGAATTAGTCAAGAAACCCGATACGTTGATACGATACGCCAGTACGAACTAGAAAAGGGTCCTTACCTCATACTTGGCACGCTCAATATAGGGAAGTCGCGCTTGATACTGATTCATCTTTTTCCTCGAAGTCAAAACTTGAGGAGGATCCGTGTAGAATGGGGTGTTGTGGATCGAGTACAGAATGGACTGTGAAAGGAAATGATATAATACAAAATTGATATCGAGTTGTCCACAACCTTATAAGTACTCATAATGTGCAGCGTATGAGTGCAGAAAAATTTCTGAACGTCTTGTAGGTTCTAAGGAGTCATTCGAAATCACAACACAAATGTAACATTCGGCTCGAAATAGTGACGATACATACGGACATACCAAAAGTATCATGAGCGTACTGCCCCACCATACGAACGGGTTGCCGAGTTGATACACCATGTGGTTGTTCTGCACCCAGAACATGAGACCCTTGACATCAAACGGCCACGAGTACCACTTGGACGACCACGGGTGATCCACAGTGATCCCTCTGTTGGCGTCGAACATCACCTGGTGGTTTGAAAGTAGAGTAAAGGGTGTATAACGTGATACAGCAGAGATACAATCAGTTAGGCTGACGGCGGCTGTGGATGTGGTTTGGTACATCGGTATTGTTTCCGTGCTCGTATCCCGTTGGTTGGCCGAAAATTGGTCCAGCGTATAAATGAGTCGCACTTTGAAGCCATAATTTTGGGACAAAAGAACGCCAGCGACAAGGGACACAGCTCAATATACTCAAAGCGAGCTGCACATAAGTTTGTGTCTGGATATTCATACCTTGTGTATGTACCAGACTTTGTCGAGCACTGAAGGCTGTTGATGTACAAAGGCAGGATCCATCTCCTCGTACTCGGGAGTACCAATGATGGTCTGCATGTACTTGGTGTCACCCACATGCCACGCTATACCCGGCCCAGTGTGGTTGGCAATGATGAAGTGTAAGGCGAACAACACCACATACACCACAATGATAAGCACCAGCATGATGATCCCGGCCAAGAGATGGAACATTGCTCCTCTAGTGGGAAAATCAGGTGAAGTCATATTCTCAGTAGTCTAGCTTATACATGACACTAAAGTGGTAGAACCGAGCCAGGCAACAACAAGAACGGGATGTAAAATCGTCATCACAAAAATCAACTGTTGCATCACTTCGGACAGAACAGAAAAAGCTACGGTTGACAGCCATAGTCAATGGCACAACACACCTCCACAGCTGGCGTTGACGCGGCGTGTTGCGATCCGATTTCGAGAAGTAATACAAATGCGACAGGAAGTTGTACACCTGTCGTACGCCTATGACTCCCACCACACCCAGACCAGTCCACTTGACACTCAGCGTGCAGCCCAGGGACACCCCTGTGAGGATGCACCAGAAGTACCACTGCAACCCAGGGTTATCGCGCTATAACCGCAAAATAAATAAATGGATACATAAGATTATTGATATGCCAGCAGAACCAAAGCAAAGCGAGTCGCGTCTGGGGCTTAATGTGTTGGAATGAAACCGTCTCTGTCGCCTCAGCAGCACCGATCATTCCACATGTTTAACAAACAGAACGAGGCACACTTCGGGCCGTACCTTGGCGAAGAGTTTGTCGGACAAATTCCAGAATTGGACAGCAGTGAATATTGAGAGCGCCAGGAAAAACCACAGGAACGAATCCATGAATATGCTGCGGCCGTTGGTGATGAGACATCCGTCAAACAGCACCATGCAACTCGCCAGCATCGATGTCGTACGCTTAGCTCCCACAGCGCGCAGGGTGAGGTAAGGTAACGGAACGGTCATGCCTGCAAAGGGAAACACATAAATAAGTATGTAGGTAAACGATAGTGTGAATACCAGCGACACGAGGCTGCAACCTCCGTTGATAAGGCTTACATAAATTCATGGGTGCTCAGAGTACCATGTGGTAGCGGAACGACCATTGCTGTGAGTGCACGCATATACACCACACGAGAGCAAACAACAATGCGGGCAGCAGCGACATGCAGCGTTCCTGTGAAAGATTTTAGACGTGCATCGAGCCAACATTGGTGAGGTATGTTTGCCTTCAAAGGCTCGAAGGTATATTTATGATAATTCAGTACGTACATCACCGTGTTGAAAAACAATGAGCACGCTTGTAACCAAACATTAATCGTACAAAGCTCGATACTATAATCGCCAACAGCGCAAAGGCACGATATATATATATATATATATATATACATATATATATAAACATGCATGCTTGCGTACAGCATATATATATAAACATCTATATATGTATAC